TACAGCCTAGGGCTGGGTATACCACCAGCGACTCAACAATGTCAGATGTCAAAATAATTTAATTTTATCTTCAAATCTTAGTGGACACCACGGTTATACTGATTTATCATGAAAAGTGGCTTAGGGTGAGAACTTTGTTCTATACTACAGACTGAGATAAATTAAGGGTGCTGGATTTGGGTCCAAACTCCTGGTTTTAATCCCACAGCTGCCAGAGATGTGGCCCCCTATAAGTCACCTATGCTCATTTGGCCTTAGTTTCTTCAGCTGTAATAAAATTTGCATTGCATACTTACAGGGCTGTATTAAAGATTGTATCAGAAAAGATCCATCAAAGTACTTTGCGAGTTCTACGATCAGTGGTTCTCTATCAGGGCTATGTTGCAGAACACATTTTGTAAAACATACAGGAATGCTGGGTTGTGAAAATGGGGAGGGGACTAGGTTCTACTTGCATCTAGTGTGTAGAATATATATATCTTCACCAAAATGTAGTCATTGTCCTAAGCTCACACAGCAGTTACATGCAAATTTAGGACAATGCTCAAAATTCCACTGATTTGTATATTCAGTATCTCAGCGTAGTATCTTACATGGTAAAATAGTTTAAAACCATTAATATCTTTGAATTATCCAGGCACCTGTAAAATTACAAATTAAAAACTGTCATATTTTGAAAACTAGTATCTTGACGAAGTCATTTTAACACTTACAATGGAGGTTTAACCTCAAACCTATAAAAAAATTGTAAAGTTAATCTAATTAAGCAATATATTTCTAACTGTGCTTTGATGTTTCAGATTAATTTATATATTGCTTGATACCATCCAGAGGCTTTTAAAATTAATTTTATTCCTAATTATATTGTTAAAAAGAAAAAACAAGAAAACACTTCAGAGCCCTCACTATAGGTCATTTTTTAAAAGTACCAATGTTTGGTTGATTAGCTTTGTATGTCTATATGTGTTTTCATGAGAAACTACATTGAAGATATCAATATGTAATACAATAAGCATTGTTAATTCCCTACCACTCTGTTTGTAACTCTGTAATGTCTGTACTGATCCTTTGCTATTTTGTAAAATGTTGTCGGTCTGTTAGTATTTTCCTCCTTTTATTTCTAAAATTAAAAAAAAATATATATATATTAACCACTGTTAACCTATTATTTTGTTTTGACATTGTGCACTATTTTTTTGCCATTTTTTTTCTTTTTTCTCTTTAAAATAAAATTTAAAAAAAAATTAAAAAAAAATAAAAGTACCAATGTCATCAAAAGCCAAAAGAAACTCAGTTTTATAGTCATTGTTTAAAAGTCTACAATGCTATTAAAGCTTATCTGTCACAAATAATTCCTAGCCATTAGCAGTACTGCACAAAGCACAGTTTAAAAATATAGTACTATAAAGTCAAATGTAAATATGGCATCAAAAGAAACTTCTTAAAACAAAAATCTTACTGAAATCTTTAATATTTCATTCATTGAGTAGTTACTTTGAATTAACAGAATAAAAACAGACACTATCTGCTAAACATTACCACTAAGCAATGCTCTACATGCCTAAAAATAATGCAATTTGAAAATTCATTGTCTATCTTTTGAATTTTCTAACTGACTCAAAGGACATATGAATTCAAAACAATGCACTAAAGTCAGTGTGCTTCTGGCTGAAAAAGATGAACTGCATCCTAGTACACAGTTTTGACCTCATCTTTTGACACTGGTTTGGAAATTTTTCCAAGCATGTGTGTGTATGTGTCCTAAATTTTTTGTCTTATTAAGAGTCACCATATCAGCATGCTGCCTGAGGGGTGTATAGCACTTTCCTCACAGACATGAGGCCCTGGGTTCAATTCCCAAGACCACAAAAAATAATAATAGTTTTTAAAATGCTACCTACCTTCTCTTCAAAGCAGAACACTCATCTTTCTTGCCTGTCCACACCATTCAAAGGATTTAAAAACTAATCATATAACAATAACTGGAATAAAATTTTTAGAAATCATCCACAAATAGAAGAATGTTCTAAATAAAATAACTATGATATCAAATCCTTTTTACTACTTCATTTTCCAGAGAATTGCCCTAATCTCCCATATTTTCATAACACCAGCAACTTTCATAGTACCAAAAGGATGTAACGCAGAATTAAATCCTTTTAAAAGCCCTGAAAAAAATCTTTTCCACTAGCAAGTTTAAAAACTTTTTAAAAAATTAATATGCTCCTAGTTTCATCAGCTTCTGATTATTCCTTCATGTTTTCAATATTGATTTGCCTTATTCAGCGATAGTGAACATTCTACCACGCATGCGTGCCGCAGCAGGCTATTTGTGTTACTGAAAGCTCCAAAAGGTTCGCCCTAATGCCTCACACTGTCATCTACTGTTGTCTAGATTGTGACTGGCCCCCAACAGCCTATGTGTGTCAAAGGCTTGTTGCTAGGGTGACGGCACTCTTGTAAGATGGTGGAGCCTTTCAGAGGTGGACCAGAGTGAGACCCATAGGGGATGCTGTAAAGGGGACCCTCGAAGGGGATTGTGGGACCTCAGCCCAGTGCCTTGCTCTTCCTGACTTTAGTTTCCTGGCTGTAACATGAGCCACCTTGCTCCGCCATGTTTTCCCACCACAAGGCTGCTTCGCCCCAGCCCCAAAGGAAAGGGGTCAATCAGCTGCAGACTGGAACTTCCAAAACTGTAGCCACGATTAAACTTTCCTACATATGTTAGTTATCTTGGGTATTTTGTTACAGTTTAAAAAGCTGATTAAGACATTACCTCACATAAGAAAGCATATAAAACCATATGAGTCGCATATTAACAATAAAACAATTCTAGTCATTTAAGAAACATGCAAGGGGGCGAGGATATATGTCAGTGGACTCTAGCCTAACTGGCAAGCATGAAGTCCCAAGTTCGATTACCCAGTACCAAAAAAAAGGAAAGAAAGAAACATTTAAGATTACTATGCCCTCATCAAGTTTCTCCTTTTATCTTTAATGTGAACACATTAAAACACATACTTGTATGTATTTCTGAAATTTTTATGTAGTTATTCTAATACATTTCCCAGTTCTAATTCTTAAAAACAGGAAGTCAAGATTTTCCATCATTGCAGAATTCCATCATTACAGGATTCTAAACTTTTAAGAACGTGTTTGTATGCAAAGACCTGTGTAATTCAGAATGTTTTTTTCTTTAAAACTAGATGCCAACAAGCAGGGGCCAAAAGTAGAGCAACTCATTGTAAAAGTACTGGCTTCCAACAGCTTGTACACGGGTCCCTCAACTGGAATCTGGAATAGAGTCTTCCACTGGAACAATGTCACAAATGCCGCCTCTTTTCCCAGGCCTCCCCACCGGGGAGTTTTAAAAGAAAATTAACATTAGGTACTTTCAAATAAACAGAAAAGGCTTATGCAAAAGATACAAAATGTATCTCCTCATCCTGCCCGATTTGTCCTCCCCTCGGGTATCTGCCTGGGAGTTTTCCAAGCTTCCCCTTACCTAAAACTAAGCCTCTTGAGAGGAAGATATTAAATAAACCTGCGTTTCCCACACTAGAAGCCACTCGACTGCCACTAAAACAATGATTTACAGTTGAACCCATAGTATGAAACCAGCATTTGGAATGCTGTATTTATGATTTTTAAGAGTCCTTGGTCTAGGGATGTAGCTCAGGGGAAGAGCCTAGCGCACACACAGACCTACACTCCAGCCGTCATGTTTTCAATATTGATTTGCCTTATTCAGCCCCAGCACTGCCAAAAATAGAGTTGTGGCTGTAACTTGCTATGATGGTACACACCTTACCCCGGAACAACAGCATTGTGTACGTGTGTGTGCAAGTGTGCGCACGTGTATGTGTGCGTATGTGCAAGCATGTGTATGTGTGTGTGTGCATGCCTACTCTTGCACACGCGCTAGTGCAGGTACTGACAATATGTCAAAGCTCTCTGTGAGGAAGACAAGTGTCCACCTGCAAGGTGACAAGTGACAACCGGAAAGCTATGAGAGCCTCTAGCTGGGGGTGGAGCAAGCAGAAGGGGGAAAGTTGGCTGGTGAGGGGTCTCCCCACCCCCCACCCTGAGAGACCTGCGAGAAGACCTAAAGGAGACGGGAAAACCCCCCTTGCCCAGGGAAGAGGGCATCCAGGAGACCAGGGAAGCCCGGACTGGCTCAGGCAGGAAGGCAGGCCGGCAGGGAACAGCCAGAGGAGGCCAAAGTTCGGGCAACCCGGCGGAATGTGGGCTTGTCCTGGCGCCAGTGGGCCAGTCCTGGTGGAGCTGAGCAGGCTGGAGCTCCCGCTGGGGTTCAGAAAGGAATCATCCGAGGTCAGTACTGCCACCTACAGGAGCCAAAACTGAAAGCGTTAGGCCCTCTGGCCACACCACACTGGAGCTGGTGAGGCAGCTGTCACCTCACAACCCTTCCCAGCGCCCACGCAGGAGCACAGCGTCAGAAGCACGGCCTCAGTGTGGTGGTGCACACCTGTAACCTCACTGGAGAGGCTGAGGCAGGAGGACCACTGCAAGTTCAAAGCCACACTGGGCTGCATAGCTAAAAAAACTCAAAAAAACAAAAAACAAAAACAAAAAAACCTACCCAAACATTTTCAAGTAATACAACATAGCTTTGCATCACGTAGACACTTTTAAGGACTACTTATTACTCCGCCACCAAAAGAATCAAATCTGTATCAGTGCCAGGCTATGACCCTTCACTGTGTCAACTCTAAAATCGAGTATGGCTACATAGTTTTTCTGACTGAATGAGTGAATAAATAGATAAATAAATAAATAAATATTATTTAACTAATGTTTTTCAAAACTATTGTTTAAATATATTCTTACTATTTGTAGGAATTTTCCCTGCATGGTTCTAGTAACGTCCCACAAGACTCTTAGAAGCTGACAATAAGTAGGCTGATAGGTATCTGCGTACTCTAAATACAGTTTAGAATAAAACTCTGCAGTAAAAACAGCATTTAAACAAACAGCACCTTTTTGTTGGTGATGGGAATGGACAGGAAGTAGTTGGGCTGATAGTCCTTGCGCTTCTTCTTCCTCTTCTTTATTTGCTTGCTCTTGACTGTTTCCTTTTCTTTACTCCTCTTCGAGTTAATCTGAGGCCCATCAGTGACTAGAGGAAAAAAAGCAACCAACGATGTGACGGAACATTTCCACAAAGATGATGCAGTCGGAAAGGGAAAGAGGCAATATTTAAATGGCGATCATTCATAACGGTCATTTTTCAGACTAAAGCAGAGGTTGGCAAATATTTCTACGAAGCACATGTTTTAGGATTTGCAGATCATGCAGTCCCTGTCCCAACTACACAACTTCATTGAAATATAACTGAAGCCGTATAGCTTTGTTCCAATAAAACTTTATTTACAAAGCAACTACTTAGCCTGTGGGCACAGTGTGCTAACCCAGCTAACGAGCATTCTCTCTCATATGCCACAGCCTTTCTAACTCTGGGAAACATCATTTTTTCATCTACCCCCAGTGACCTAACCTCCTCCCACTAGGCCACACCCTCTAAAGGCTCCACCACCTTTAGGGAACCAAGGCTTTAACACACTGGCTTTGGGGACATTCAAGATTCAAACTCTAGCACGTGGGATCAGATGCAAAGGTATCCAGAGTCAATTTCAAAGCCTTCCTGCTGGCCAAAATTGAGACAATTTGAGCATCAAATTGAGTAACAAATTTAGTGGTGTGAAGTACACCAACCATGATTACATCACACAATTCATAATGACACTAAAAAGAAAAATTACAACCATAAACTCACAGGTCACCTTAGGGGAGTCCAGGGAACCATTACACTAAAAATCTGATGGCAAAGGGAAGAAAATCAAGCATTTATCCAGCCTTTTCTTATAATCAAATAGTTGTACAGGAAATAAAATAGCTAACTAAGATAAAGTTCTTTAAATTTGCAGTCAATGAATGCAAATCCATACAGCTAGAACACTGCCATTTTGAAATGCTTAACAAAGCAATAGACTAACCCAAAGATCAGCAGATGATTCACTGGGTAGAAAGCTGATAGGGAATTTCAATAATGGACACACTGGGACAATAAGACCTGAAGCCATTGATCAATCTTAAGATCACAGGAAGGAAGACAAGCAAACGTTGGGCCTACTGAGTCACACTATGGGAAATTCAAGACATCATCTTTAGCCAGGCAAGGTGGAGGACTCCTGTAGTCCCAGCACTCGGAAGGCTGAGGGAGGAGGATCGCAGCAAGTTTGAAGACAGCCTAGACTACATAGTGAGTTCAAGGACAGCCTGAACTACATAGCAAGATCCTGTCTCAAAAAATCAGGAAAAAAAAATACCTTCGGCGCACTCTTGTCAAAATGCCAAACATAATTAAGCCTCTGATCTAAGTACTAGTTTACTGGAAATATGAGGAAAAGAAGTATTTTAAATGATCAGAAGAAGGAAAACTTCTACACAACCTGACTTCCTCAACAACAAACACCACACACACACATACACGCACACACATACACGCGCGCGCGCGCGCGCGCGCGCGCACACACACACGAAAACAGGTCTATACGTGAAAACAGAGTTAAGATATGCATCAATCACTGTGAATACAATTACAGTATAACATATACATGAATGGAAATGTCACAGTGAAACCCATTAACTTGTACAATTAATCTGAGTCGATACTTTTAATATCAATAAAAGGAAATAAAGGGTTCCCAAGGGCAAAACCAAAAAGTAAATATCTGACTACATCCATTTTAAAAAGAAATTTATCAAATATGATGCATAGACATTGGATCCTACCAACTAACTCTAGGTTTTTAAAAATCATGACACAATCAGAGATTGACTGGATACTTGATAGAACAGAAATTACTATTAATTATTAGTAGTAATTATAGTTTAGGTAGACTTTTCAAAAAACATTTCTGGCCTGGGGATGTAGCTCAGTGGTAGAGCATTTGCCTAGCATGCATGAGGCCCTGGGTTTGATCCCTAGCACAGCAAAAGATAAAATTAAATGTTTTAAATGATTCCTCACTTTTATTTTGGAGGTGTTTGGGATCGAACCTAGGGCCTTGTGCCTATTAGACAAGTGCTCTACCGCTGAGCCATACACCAGCCTTTTTAAAATTTTGTCTTATTTTGAGACAGCATCTCACTTAGTTGCCCAGGCTGACCTCAAATTTGTCATCCTTCTGCCTCAGTTTCCCAAGTAGCTGGGATTACAGGCACGCACCACCATACCCATGACTCCTTATTTTTTAAAGGCACAGACTAAAGCATTTACAGGTAAAGTAATATTCCTGGGATTTACTTCAGAATAATCCAATAAAGAGCAGGTGATGAATATGGAAGGTTCACTGCCCTATTATCTCTACTTATAAATCTACTTGAAAGTTTCTATAATGAAGTATTTTTAAAAGACAGATTACCTAGGGCTCTATTCCACTTCTGATTTTCTGTGATCCAGGATAAACATACTGTTAACATCTGCACCAATCAGACGTTTTATGGTGAAATTAAAGAAAAAAGGATTTCAAGAGAATCCTAAAAGTATAGTCTAGCTTTTTTTTTTTTTTTCAAAGTACAGGCACCAACGTATAAGAAGGTGATGAGGTCAATTTAGTAATAAAGGGCACTTTTTAAAAACTGAAAAGGAACGGTCTAACTCATGCAGACAGTATATTACTACCAACCAGTCAGTACGGGTACTGCTTAATGAAACTTGTATTTCCATTTTTTGCATACACGAGTATTGACTAGCAAAGTAAAATGCAACCTTTATTGAGAACATCAGATATATTCATTTGTACTGTATTTTATTCAGACTCTAATAAAAAGCAATCCTAAAGAACAGACTTAAAAGATCGCTGGCACTTTTAGCATTTTAAGTGGTTTTATACCTTATCTGTTTTACACCTCCATTCCTGTCTGTAGCAATGGATTCTTGCTCTTTTTGAACACTGCAGAATCTATTTTACAGACATCAGAAAGGGACAACCACATTCTCTTAAAGTCATAGCTGCAACATCTCAGACCTCTAACAATTCCAGTATCATCAGAACGACTGTAAAATTCCAATTCAGAATACAATTTCCTGGCAAAGATTATGTAGTACAAGGTTAGGCTAACTCTCTTTAGCTCTCAGCCTTATGAATCACAATTTAACTTTGAACCAAATGATCTAAAAATTCATTTTGTTAGGCGTCACAGGCAGCATAAAGTTTAAAATTATCGGACACCTGGTTTTTAAACAGAATCCTAATAATAGTTATTGCTCTAGTACAGTTTTATCAACCCTTAACATACTTTTAGTTGATTCAATGATTCCTGGTGATTTTGTGGTAAACTTATTTCACCTGAGCCCAAGAGCTCTTTCTCACCCATTTGCTTGAATAGTTGTTTTTAAATTATTGTTTGTAAAGGTAATTTGTGAAGCCAAAGTATAAAATGTTTTCCTTACTGGTCGTTTTATCTCTAATTTTTAACATTATAAATTTTGAATCTCGATTCTAGAGATAATTTGCTTTTTTAAAAACTTTCACGTGAAACTATCCAGAGCAAAAATATTCATTAATAACCTAGTATAGTGATATAAATATTAAAGGTCAGTGGCCGTAGAGACGAAAGGTAGCGCACGCTGGCCGGGGGCCCCCAGCCGCCGACTGCATTCGTCACAGTAACTTTATGGCTGGCAAAAGAGTCAGGCATGAAGCACAGCTCATCAATTCATGGTATAAATTTAATTTATTCCACCTGTTAATTTCCATAATGGTTTCAGGAGCCATTTTCATGTGCTCTAGTGAATTCAGTCATGTTCACAAAGGCTGGAACCCTCTGATCCCCGCATTTGTTTTAGTAACTAAAGCAGCCCATGTCATTTTATGTAAATGAACCATTGTTCCACAAGTTCTATGTATTCCCTCAAAAACTTCAGAGCAATGAGTTATGAGAAATTAACTTCATTAAGCAGTCCATCTGCTACTGTGGGTTGACTGTTTTCACACTTCCCCTTCATTAAAAACCTGAGAACAAATTAGATTTTGTTTCATTATTTTCTTTCTTCCTTGTTATTTAAAAAGTAATCATTCCAAGAAGGGGATATAGCTCAGTGGCACAGCACCTGCTTGGAAAGCGCAAGGTCCTGAGTTCGATTCCCAGTACCAAAAAAAATAATAAAAGTAAAATAAATAATAAATAAACAAATAAAAAGTAATCATTCCTAAAACTGTTTAATTGTATGACAGAATATTATCTTCTATATTTCATAGAATTATCCCTCCTTACTACCTAGATAATCTTTGACAAAGTACTTTCTAAAACTACACTTTTACCTCCTTTACTTAACCTCTCTATGGAGATTAAGTGAGTATTTGGCAACGGCCAGAACCATTCAATAGTGTTATTATAAGATACTGTTCATGAAGCCAGGCAAGGTGGCCCACACCTGTCATCTCAGCACCTCAGGAAGCTGAGACAGGAGGATCGGGAGATAGAGGCCACCCTGGGCTACACAGTGAGTTTAGGGTCTGCCTGCACTGCATTGTGAGACACTGTTTGAAAAAAAAAAAACATAAAAAATAGAGGCAATCGGTATGATCAAAATATATGCATTGAAAGTCAATATTGTGTAAAATGAATAGGCACTAATAATGAAAGAAAAGTAAAATTCCAAGCTTCCTCATTTGATGTCTTCTATAAAATACTGTACTCCAGTTTCTGAGGAAAAAGAATCATCACATATATGATAAAGTGTTATCTTTACAAAAAATTCTTATAACTCAATTGATGAAATAGATAAAGAGCACGAAAACACACGTGGCCATGAACATGAAGAATGTCCAACCTCAGTAGCAATCAAACAAATGAAAAGTATAACAACATAAAAATTAAAAATAAGTTAATAATAATATCACTCAAGGGGCAAATTATTACAATCAACAAATATACTTGGGAAAAAATTTGGTAAAACTAAGGCAATGAAAAGCTCCTGAGACTAGCTGTGCATTGTTAAGGATTTAACATGCATTAGGAGCTGAATCTTTCCCACAGTGCTGTGTGGCAGCTACCATTATTAAACTAATAACTAATAAAACTAAGCCTGGAAAAAAGACATGGAAAAAA